TCTCATGTCACCCCGCTCCTCCGCACACTCCACTGGCTTCCAGTTGAGGCTTGCATCTACTACAAGACCATGGTGCTTGCCTACGGAGCTGTGAGGGGAACGGCACCTCCTTACCTTCAGGCTCTGATCAGACCCTACACCCAAACGAGGGCACTACGTTCATCCACCTCTGGCCTGCTAGCTCCCCTACCTCTGCGGAAGCACAGTTCCCGCTCAGCCCAGTCAAAACTGTTCGCTGCTCTGGCACCCCAATGGTGGAACAAGCTCCCCCACGACGCCAGGACAGCGGAGTCACTGACCACCTTCCGGAGACACTTGAAACCCTACCTCTTTAAGGAATACCTGGAATAGTATAAAGTAATCATTCTTACCCCACCCCCCCACCATGGCCCAGACACAGCGTGAGTCACACACTCTCTTTCCTGCCCACAACCCAACTGGTTTTCTTCCTGATTTACATTCATTTCACAGAGTTTCTAAACACAGAGACCCAACATCGCAAGACTTCCGGGAACGCTTGCGAAGCATACTCTGCAGACCAGACCGGTCAAAAAGGAGGATTTCAAGGACAAACAGAAGGAGACTGTCCTGGATAAGGTACAGAATAAATACACTGCACTGCGTCCTCACCAGCCTCTTTTTTGTCATTAGAGACCTAGGATTTCAATAAACTGCATGCAGAAAGTTGTGTAGCCCATAAGTGTCATCAATGTAATAAACATGAATTGAAGTTCCTCATACAGCAGGGTTTGGATTAATTCCACTAATTCAATTCTAATTCAATTCCCATTCCTTGTAAATTCTATTTAATTCAATTATAATTTCAGGTCAGTCTTTGAATTGAAATAATTAAATTCCTCTCAATACCAAATGTTAGGTAAATTCCAGGAATTCAATTCCCAATTCAATATTACCCCAACAATTCCTCAAATTCAACCCCTTCACTGTTCAGTCACTGTTTAGACCGCCTAATATACTGGAAATAAAGAAATACACGTTTAAATAATTAAAAACAAACCCTGTTGTCCATTTTTGATACTAAGTGCATTAATTCCTTTAACTGGGAAATGTACAAATATTGAATTTCAATTCCAAAGATTAAATGTTTTTACTATTCCAACCCAAACAGTCCAAACAAGTCTAATTCCAATTCCATAACTTAAAGATAGTTGAAATTCGAATTGAATTCAATGTAAATTATTCACTTCATGAGTGAATTCAAGAATTGAATTGGAATTTCAAATTAAATTGGAATTGACCCCAACCCTGTCATACAGTAGTTAATGGTATAATTGAATAACTGTTTCATTAGTTTTTGTTCATTGATGGTCCTATTGAATAACTGTTATTCCTGTGTGTTAGAACTGTTATTCCTGTGTGTTCTAACTGTGTGTGTCTCAGTACGGGGGTGAGGACCACCTGATGCCCCCCCCCCCCGCCCCCAGAGAGCTGCTTCTGGCCCAGACTGAGGACTACGTGGGGGGAGACAACTGTCAATCATCTCACGGTGCCGTGCTGAAGGGACAGGAGAAGGCTGTGGCACGCTCCAAATACGAAGAGGACATACTCATCCAGGCTTCTAGAACTGACTAACCCCGTAGAGATGAGCACAGTCAGAATAGTCTCCAGTCAGACAATAACAATTTGGAGTGTTCAAGAACTGTGCCAACTGGCCTCCCGAGTGGCGCAGTGGTCGAAGGCTGTGCCACTATAGATCCTGGTTCGAAGTCCAGGCTCTGTCGCAGCCGGCCGCGACCGGGAGACCCATGGGGCGGCGCACAATTGGCCCAGCGTCGTCCAAGTTAGGTTTGGCCGACAGGGATATTATTGTCCCATAGCACACTAGCGACTCCTGTGGCGGGCGCAGTGCACGCTGACACGGTCGCCAGGTGTACGGCGTTGGTGCGGCTGGCTTCCGTGTTAAGCGGGCATTGTGTCAAGAAGCAGTGCAGCTTGGCGGGGTCGTGTTTCGGAGGACGCACGGCTCTCGACCTTTGCCTCTCCCGAGTCCGTACGGGAGTTGCAGCGATGGAACTGTAAGACTGTAACTACAAATCGGATACCACAAAATAGGTGAGCACAAAGGGGTAAAATAAAATAAATTACAATAATAAAGAACTGTGCCAAATAAAAAGAGTAAAGGACAGTATTAAAGGCTGTACAGTAGCATCTGTTCAAATAAGCATACTTACAGGGGTTTCTGTGTTTTTGCCTTGCAGTGTATCTGTGGGTCCTACTGGAGAGAAGGCTGCTGGGGCTTCAAGTGCTGCCACTCCATGGTCAAACAGAGCTACTGCACCGGAGAGGCTGGCATCAAAACTACGGTCCGTATTCTACTAATCATCAATCGTGTTTGAGCCTTTGGGTAATGTGATTTCCGTAGTCAATTATAAACACTGAAGTTTTTTGGGGGGGGATGAAATGATTGACAGGTGTCTCCCCCTATAGATCTCCTTGGCCTGTGTTCCGTTTGAGGAGGGACTTGAGGAGAAACCAAAGACTACTGGAGATGCACAGGGAGAAGCTAAAAGAGGAGAAGAAGCAGAAGAAGAAGAAGCACGGCTCAGACAGCAGCGACTCTGAGGAGGAGAAGAAACAGAAACTGAACAAGGTGAACTTTGACTTCTTTGCTTTGATATGTGCATGTCTGTGTTTTTATGTACGTCAGTCCCCTTTGCCTGTGTGTGCGCTCCTACCTGACTATATCTCACTCCCAAAACCTTCCTCTTACCTCCCTCTCTCTCATCCTCCTACCTCCCCCTCTCTCACTCCAATCCCTCCCTCCCTCACCCCCTACCCACCTCTCTCTCTCTCTCTCCCCTCCCTCGCTCTCCCCAGGCCCTGGCTGCAGAGGAAGTGCGTCTGAAGCAGGTCGAGGAGATGATGAAGGTGGATGAGAGGAAGAGGAAGTACAACTGCCTGCAGGAGATCAAGGAGCCCACGGAGGAGGAGATGGAGGCCTTCAGGATGAAACGCTCCAGGGAAGACGACCCCATGGCCAACTTCCTGGAGCTGGGACAGTGATAGTCAGTGACGACCCCATGGCCAACTTCCTGGAGCTGGGACAGTGATCGAGTGATAGTGACAACCCCATACTCTACGCTCACCCCTACCTACAGTCTACCCTCTACCTACAGCATACCCCACCCCTATACTCCTACCCTACCCTACCCTCCCACCCCTATACCTCTACCCTACCCTCCCACCCCTACCTACCCCTACCCTACCCTCCCCCCCACCCCCCTATCTACCCCTACCCTAACCTACCCTCCCACCCCTATACCCCTACCTACCCTCCACCCTATACCCCACCCCTACTACCCCTACCCTACTCCCTCCCACCCCTATACCCCCTACCCTCCCACCCCTATACCCCTACCCTACCCTCCCACCCCTATACCACCCCTACCCTACCCCTCCCACCCCTATACCTCTACCTACCCTACCCTCCCACCCCTATACCCCTACCCTACCCTCCCACCCCTATACCCCTACCCTACCCTCCCACCCCTATACCCTCTACCCTACCCTCCCACCCCTATACCTCTACCCTACCCTCCCACCCCTATACCCTACCCTACCCTCCCACCCCTATACCCTACCCTACCCCCCACCCCTATACCTCTACCCTACCCTCCCCCCTAACCCCTACCTACCCTCCCACCCCTACCCCTACCCTACCCCCACCCCTATACCCCTACCCTACCCTCCCACCCCTACCTATACCCCTACCCTACCCTCCCACCCCTATACCTCTACCCTACCCTCCCACCCCTTAACCCCTACCCTACCCTCCCCCCCTATACCTCTACCCTACCCTCCCACCCCTATACCCCTACCCTACCCTCCCACCCCTATACCTCTACCCTACCCTCCCACCCCTATACCACCTACCCTACCCTCCCACCCCTATACCCCTACCCTACCCTCCCCCCCTATACCTCTACCTCTACCCTCCCACCCCTATACCCCTACCCTACCCTCCCACCCCTATACCTCTACCCTACCCTCTCCTACTTTTCCCCATAACATCATTGTAGTCCTTTTGTTATTAAGTCTATCAATGTGGTAGAATGTGATTTTCTTTCATATTTGTAAATATAGAATGCATTTTGAACTTTCAAACGACCATTTATCCAATAAAAATAATGACTTCCCTTGGTTATCTCATAGACATTTGGTGGAATAAAGACATTTTTATAGAAAACCAAATTATAATCCCATTCTGTTTGTGAATTATTTGATCTTAATATGCACTGAAAATTAAGACGACGCATCATATCACTGAAAGGATGGGTGATGTAGGTGCTGCGTAAAGAAAATAAGTTGGCTAACACTTTTGGTACCTAAGAAGTGCCAAGCACTGCAGACAAATGGTTGCTGCTAAAATATTTAGCTTGGCCCATGTCTGGTATGGGTTTGTGCTTGTCTCATCAGTGGAACCTAAAACATGACAGGGGGGAGAGAGACACACCACTACATGCATCATCTTCCATCTTAAAAAATAAAATAAAAAATCTTCCATCTTCTGATTCACAAACCATAAATGTCGTTGTTCAATGGTCCCCATCTCTCTGGGATAGTTCTACATTAACCGTTTCTTAATCACAACTTCATCATGTATTTTATTTAGTTAATGTCGTGGTTTTATTCTGTGAAACATTGCAAACAGTGCTTCACTCTCTTCTTCCATGTGTGAGATTTTGATGGGTTTTCTCCGGTTCTTGTCACTTTGTCTGGACACATCTGGTAATCCTCACAGTGCACTTCTACTCAGTTCAACTAAGTTTCTGCATGGGGCTGCCTTGTATGATGTTTTTTTTTCTTCTGATTTCTCATGTTATGATGAGAACCTGAGAAGTTGATTGTATAACGCCTATCAAAACATCCCTTAATGCAATTTGGCCCCTTGGCACAACTGTCCAAAGCTGTCAATCAATCACGAGCCTAGGGAATCTCCAAGTGTCTGATAAAATTTCCCACAATAACTGGTTGGTTGAAACTAATTACCTCATGGTGAAAGTATTTGTTGACAGAGAGAGAACTATTGCTGAAACAGGGTGGATGTTCATGTTTTGCGTTTGGGGTTAAAATACACAGGATTTCTTTACAATGCTGCACGTCAGAGAGTATTTCGACCTGACATTGGAGTATTATTTAGGGGTTAAGGTTGTGCTTCCGTTCTGTGGAACTGAAGGGTTGGATAACCCATATAAATGCTGCTGTTTATCAAGTTGACCTCTTTAGTTGGTGAGTAGCCGATATGTTTTCTCTTTCTCTATTCTTTCAGCATTTTCCCTAACGATGGCATAATGTGTGCGAGATCTAGAGAAACTCTCCATTACGCACAACACTTTGTTTTCCCGAGTGGCGCAGTGGTCTAAGGCACCGCAGTGCTAGCTGTGCCACTAGAGATCCTGGTTCGAATCCAGGCTCTGCTGTAGCCGGCCGCAACCGGGAGACCAATGGGGCGGCGCACAATTGGCCCAGCGTCGTCCAGGGTAGGGGAGAGAATGGCCGGCAGGGAGGTAGCTCAGTTGGTAGAGCATGGCGTTTGCAACGCCAGGGTTGTGGGTTCGCTTCCCACGGGGGGCCAGTATGAAAATAAAAAAGAATAATGTATGCACTAACTGTAAGTCGCTCTGGATAAGAGCGTCTGCTAAATGACGTAAATGTAATGTAAATGTTTTATAGTTGAACGACAATGATATGCAATTTCGATGAAGACATACAGTGGGGAAAAAATGTATTTAGTCAGCCACCAATTGTGCAAGTTCTCCCACTTAAAAAGATGAGAGAGTCCTGTAATTTTCATCATAGGTACACGTCAACTATGACAGACAAAATGAAAAAAAAAATCCAGAAAACCACATTGTAGGATTTTTTATGAATTTATTTGCAAATTATGGTGGAAAATAAGTATTTGGTCAATAACAAAAGTTTCTCAATACTTTGTTATATACCCTTTGTTGACACAGGTCAAACGTTTTCTGTAAGTCTTCACAAGGTTTTCACACACTGTTGCTGGTATTTTGGCCCATTCCTCCATGCAGATCTCCTCTAGAGCAGTGATGTTTTGGGGCTGTCGCTGGGCAACACGGACTTTCAACTCCCTCCAAAGATTTTCTATGGGGTTGAGATCTGGAGACTGGCTAGGCCACTCCAGGACCTTGAAATGCTTCTTACGAAGCCACTCCTTTGTTGCCCGGGCGGTGTGTTTGGGATCATTGTCATGCTGAAAGACCCAGCCACGTTTCATCTTCAATGCCCTTGCTGATGGAAGGTGGTTTTCACTCATGGCCCCATTCATTCTTTCCTTTACACGGATCAGTCGTCCTGGTCCCTTTGCAGAAAAACAGCCCGAAAGCATGATGTTTCCACCCCCATGCTTCACAGTAGGTATGGTGTTCTTTGGATGCAACTCAGCATTATTTGTCCTCCAAACACGACGAGTTGAGTTTTTACCAAAAAGTTATATTTTGGTTTCATCTGACCATATGACATTCTCCCAATCTTCTTCTGGATCATCCAAATGCACTCTAGCAATCTTCAGACGGGCCTGGACAGGTACTGGCTTAAGCAGGGGGACACGTCTGGCACTGCAGGATTTGAGTCCCTGGCGGCGTAGTGTGTTACTGATGGTAGGCTTTGTTACTTTGGTCCCAGCTCTGTGCAGGTCATTCACTAGGTCCCCCCGTGTGGTTCTGGGATTTTTGCTCACCGTTCTTGTGATCATTTTGACCCCACGGGGTGAGATATTGCGTGGAGCCCCAGATCGAGGGAGATTATCAGTGGTCTTGTATGTCTTCCATTTCCTAATAATTTCTCCCACAGTTGATTTCTTCAAACCAAACTGCTTACCTATTGCAGATTCAGTCTTCCCAGCCTGGTGCAGGTCTACAATTTTGTTTCTGGTGTCCTTTGACAGCTCTTTGGTCTTGGCCATAGTGGAGTTTGGAGTGTGACTGTTTGAGGTTGTGGACAGGTGTCTTTTATACTGATAACAAGTTCAAACAGGTGCCATTAATACAGGTAACGAGTGGAGGACAGAGGAGCCTCTTAAAGAAGATGTTACAGGTCTGTGAGAGCCAGAAATCTTGCTTGTTTGTAGGTGACCAAATACTTATTTTCCACCATAATTTGCAAATAAATTCATTAAAAATCCTACAATGTGATTTTCTGGAGAAAAAAATTCTCAATTTGTCTGTCATAGTTGATGTGTACCTATGATGAAAATTACAGGCCTCTCTCATCTTTTTAAGTGGGAGAACTTGCACAATTGGTGGCTGACTAAATACTTTTTTCCCCCACTGTAGCTAACATTCTTTGTTGTTCAACTGTATTTTTCAGCAAAGTTTACTCTGTGTTTTGGTTTGTAGACAACACATTATGCATTTGAATGCATGTCAATTAACATCAAATTATTTGTGAAATCTCAGTTTTGGTCAGCAAACCTTTGGCTGATGACAGCAGTGTAATGCATCGGTGCTGATGATCTCTACAACCACAGCTTTCCAACTGATGACTTCTAAATGCCTCCCTTACCTTTTCAGCTACTACCATGCTCCAGCTGTCTCTGATGGTGTGCTATCCATCACTACCTCCCAGATCCAGACTACACACTCCTCGTACATGAAGCGCCACAACATCACCATCCATTCCTCCCAGCTGGTGTGTAGTCTACCCAGCCCTCAGGGGTCCGGTGGAAACCCAGGGGCCTCTGGATCTCCAGGGGAAATGGGCCCCATGGGTACCCCAGGGAAGGATGGCCTGGATGGGGGGGGGATGGAGAGAAGGGGGAGAGGGGTAACAGAGGTAAGAAGCACAATGGAAGCATCCAGGTAGTAGCCTGGACTGGGTCTGAATCCGAGTACTGTAGTACAACTCAAGGCTGAGTTAGTTAGCCCACTGAGCTGAAGCCTACAGTATAAGCATTACCTGTTAGTTAGCCCACTGAGCTGAAGCCTACAGTATAGGCATTACCTGTTAGTTAGCCCACTGAGCTGAAGCCTACAGTATAGGCATTACCTGTTAGTTAGCCCACTGAGCTGAAGCCTAGAGGCATTACATTTGGGAGCTAACATGAGTCTTTAGGTTTCAGACAAGGTTGCTTGTCACGCTAACCACTTTACCACTCTTTTAGTCCTTGATATTGCTTCCTGTGTTAGCTATAATGTTGTGTTCCTATGCAGTACGCTGAATTGTGAGCTGTCTGGTGTGAATATATGAATGTGAATTAGCCATGACCTGTCTCTGTCTCTGTCTGATCTTCAGGTGAACAGGGGAGGCCTGGGAACCAAGGTAAACCCGGGGTTAAAGGTTTTGATGGCGTTGTAGGCAAGCATGGACCCCGAGGGCTGAAGGGCCCGCGTGGGGCCCCAGGTCTGGCCGGACTGGGGGGCACCAAGGGGGAGACAGGGGACACGGGTGAGACAGGGGCTCCTGGGGGCTGTAACTGCGGCACCAACTCAGTCTGCTCTGTCCCAGGAGTCTACTACTTCACTTATGACATCACACTGGCCAACAAGCACTTGGCGATCGGGCTGGTGCACAACGGGCAGTACAAGTATCAAGACGTTTGACGCCAACACTGGGAACCACGATGTGGCGTCCGGTTCCACGGTTCTCCAGTTAGAGCGTCAGGACCATGTTTGGCTGCAGATCTTCTACTCGGAATAGAATGGGCTATTCTATGACCCGTTCTGGACAGATAGTCTGTTTACTGGGTTCCTGATCTACGCAAACCAGGAGTACCAATGAGGATTCATCACCTTCATCCTGATGGGTTGAACTACAACGGCACCTGCTTTTGCTTCCTTGTCCATTTGGGAAGAAACTTCTACCTGTCATCATTGCAATCATAGTTCAGCCTATTTATACTCAGTTTGGTCAATGATAAAATGTTCTCTAAAAGTGAATTGTAATAGGCCTACTGTATTATCTTTGCATATTATTGAAAAAGCTATGCCCTATATTGACACCAGGTGGCACTGAGTCATCTGTTGCCCAGCTAATACTCATTGCTTAGTATTTATACTGAATGAAAATATAAACGCAACATGTAAAGTGTTGGTTTCATGAGCTGAATAAAAGATCCCAGAAATGTTCCATACGCACAAAACGCTTATTTCTCTCAAATTTTGTGCACAAATTTGTTAGTGAGCGTTTATACTTTGCCAAGACAATCCATCCACCTGACAGGTGTGGCATGTCAAGAAGCTGATTAAACAGCATGATCATTACAAAGGTTCACCTTGTGCTGGGGACAATAAAAGGCCACTCTAAAATGTGCAGTTTTGTCACACAACACAATGCCACAGATGTCTTAAGTTTTGATTGAGCGTGCAATTGGCATGCTGACTGCAGGAATGTCCACCAGAGCTGTTGCCAGAGATTTAATGTTCATTTCTCTACCATCAGCCTCCTCCAACGTCGTTTTATAGAATTTGGCAGTATGTCCAACCATCTTCACTACCGCAGACCACGTGTAACCACTCCAGCCCAGGACCTCCACATATGGGTTCTTCACCTGCGGGAACGTCTGAGACCAGCCACCCGGACAGCTGATGAAAGTGTGGGTTTGCACAACCGATGAATTTCTGCACAAACTGTCAGAAACTGTCTCAGGAAAGCTCATCTGCGTGCTCGTCGTCCTCACCAGGGTCTTGACCTGACTGCGGCTCATCTTCAATGGCCACTGGCACGCTGGAGAAGTGTGTTCTTCACGGATGAATCCCGGTTTCAACTGTACCGGGCAGATGGCAGACAGCGTACATGGCGTCGTGTGGGTGAGCAGTTTGCTGATGTCAGCGTTGTGAACAGAGTGCCCCATGGTGGTGGTGGGGTTATGGTATGGGCAGGCATAAGCTACGGACAACGAACACAATTGCATTTTATCGATGGCAATTTGAATGCACAGAGATACCGTGATGAGATCCTGAGGCCCATTGTCATGCCATTCATCCGCCGCCATCACCTCATGTTTTAGCATGATAATGCATGGCCCCATGTTGCAAGGATCTGTACACAATTCCTGGAAGCTGAAAATGTCCCAGTTCTTCCATGGCCTGCATACTCACCAAACATGTCACCCATTGAGCATGTTTGGGATGCTCTGGATCGACGTGTACGACAGCGTGTTCCAGTTCCTGCCAATATCCAGCAACTTCGCACAGCCATTGAAGAGGAGTTGGACAACATTCTACAGGGCACAATCAACAGCCTGATAAACTCTATGCGAAAGAAGATGTGTCGCGGTGCATGACGCAAATGCTGGTAACACCAGATACTGACTGGTTTTCTGATCAACACCCCTACCTTTTTTTTTTAAAGGTATCTGTGACCAACAGATGCATATGTGCCTTCCCAGTCATGTGAAATCCATAGATTAGGACCTAATTAATTGATTTCAATTCACTGATTTCATTATATGAACTGTAACTCAGTAAAATCTTTTGAAATTGTTTCATGTTGTGTTTATATTTTTGTTCAGTGTATAAACAGAATTGCATTGCATGTTATGGATTGGATTGGTAATGGTGGAGGGAAATGAGTGAAAGGATTTTATTTTCACATTACAATTTTTTGGGTGCTGTTTATATTCAGCAATATGGAAATGTTCCTACATGCAACTATCCCACTCTGTTTAAATTAAATGAGAATGCACTAACCGTGTTACACGTAATTAAAATGGTTTATTTTGTGCTATAAATCATATTATAGTACATTTTACAATGTGCTAAAGGAAAACGTTTTTACACACATGCCACTTGAGAAAGTTGATAGTGATTTGCAATAAAAACGTGATTTAATCATCTCTACAGCACTATCCGTTTTTAAAATGCCAGTGTTTGTGAAGTTTTTCATATCTAAGAGAGACATGTTTAGTTTAATTGAAATCAATTAGAAAATGAGTTATTGCCATAATTAGCCCATTTTAGTCATGGGTTCTTGGACTACATTTCCCGTCTCACACCGGTCTTTCGCGTACGCAAGTTCACGAGCTCTTCGCCGACCGCTACAGCAGCTGGGGAAGCGAACCACTTTGTTGAACGAGGAGCTGTGGAAAAATCTTTGTAAAAGTGTAAACAGACGAGAAAACAGTTGAATTAAACTGTTCTGAAGCGTTGTTACTTTGTCAACTGAATAACGGAAACAGTCGTCGCTTTTCGCCGGTACGGAGGATATTACAAAACTTCCCAAAGAGGAATTCTACATTCAGGATGTCGGAGTGAAACAAAGAGGTCTGTGGGCATTCCTGTCGGAGAGGGTGAGCGGCACATGCGATCATGGACATTTTGCGAATCTAAAAGTTTACTAAATGTGTGTATCAAGGATTTAATGCTGTCAATAGTCAGGTGTGATCTTTGTCTAAGTTTGAGGTATAGGCCGATAAATAAAATAGTATTAGAACCATAAGGGTGGTCTACTTTTCTGTTTAAAAAAAACACTGTTGTAGAAACTGTCTCGTGGTGTTGACACTGCTAAGTGAGCGAGACGTATTGTTTTTTCTCTTAGCAGATTTGTGACAAAGTATACATTTGTTGTTCGGCCTACAAAAAAGTTACTTTGTTACCCCAGCGCTATAATTCCCACGTAGTTTTTTTTTTTCCACTGCAGGACATTTAAATCACACCCACTTGCATGGGGAATGTATTACAGTGCATTGCCATATCCTAATATTGGACTAAAGGAGCCTAACGTTATTCCTTAGTCCAAGGACCTTGCATGCTCTTTTTAAAGGGCGAATTGGCTCTGAAATCGATCCTCAATTGCGGTACGGTTCTAGAAAAACATAGAGCCTTATACTTTAATCACATCAAAATAATTTAACAAATGCAAAATACACTGTTTTTAACCGGTTTTAAACAGTTGTTACAGTCAACAGTATTTTACAGTGACATGTTTGGCCTCTGTCTTCCGTTTAAACACAGGTTTGGAGACTCAGATAGCTATTTAGCACAGGTAGTCTTCTGTCTGTATACTGTAAACAAGCGCTGTAACACGGAAATATGGCGGTGTGGGAACCCTAGCCCTATAAAGGTGTTTATCAATGTAACTTTTGTAAAAATTATTATTATTTCTCGCAGATATGAAGATAAGGTCCTTATGCTTCCAAAACCGTACCGCAAGCGATTCATGTTAATGTTCAGACCGAGCGTCAGGGCTCTTAACAAACAACCCCTCATCAATGACTCTTATGTGTAATGAAATGAGAGTCATGAATGATCAAGGGCTATGCGGTGCCGGTGACCAATGCTTACTGTACAGATGGTCATGGGGGAAATGAACTCAATTCCATTTTTTAGTTTTCAAAAGAGCAGCCGACTATTTTGAATAGTTTTCCAGAATTTTGAATTTTAAACATTTCGAAAGGCTATTGGATGTTTTATTTAGCCTATGTGGTTTATTTAAAAAAAAATCAAATGTTGATCTTTAACTGCAGATTTTTTTTATACATTCAAATTGCAAATTAATAGAAAGGATACAATGTTTTTTCCCTAGAAATCAACACTTATTTTTTTTATTTGCAAATTGATTTTTAATCACCAGTATGAATAAAGGATATTACAAGTTTGTTCAAACAATTTATTCCAGAAGTCCTTGTCCTTTTGATGTCAAATACCTAAAGTTGTGATCAGACACCAACAACCATAACATGTGGCATACAGCCAGGATGTCTCTTGACTTAGCCCACATTGCTGTGTGTCTGCAGGGTTGAACTTCATCCTTGTGGCCTTTTCTGAATGGGAAAGATGGAAAGGGAGTTACAATGGTGGAAAGGACAGCTAGCAGGGGATATCCATCAGTCCCTCCGCATCAAGGTAAGACTAGCCAGTCATAGAATCAGAATTCATAGAATTTAGAATGAATAGAATTCTGAATTCCAATTCTAATTCTATGAATCCAGTTCTCTGTGTCTCCTTGGTTCATTCCCTGAGTTCCACTTTCCTCTTATCACCTCATGTGATAAGAATATCAACTGCATGGTGAAATTTGTATTTTTGGGGATGTTCTCAATGCCAGGGAGAAAGCTTTGAGTCTGGTGGCCTGCAGTTCACCTGTGCTTAAATGCATCATAACCTGAAAAAGACGACAACTAATCTAGGTTAAGAGCGTTGGGCCAGTAACCAAAAGGTCGCTGGTTTGAATTCCCAAGCCGACTAGGTGAAAAATCTCATGTGCCCTTGAGCAAGGCACTTAACCCTAATTGCTCCTGTAGGTCCCGTGTAGCTCAGTTGGTAGAGCATGGCATTTGCAACACCAGGGTTGTGTGTTCGATTCCCACGGGGGGCCAGTATGAAAAAAATAAAATTTAAAATAAATAAATTGTATGCACTCACTAACTGTAAGTTGCTCTGGATAAGAGTTTCTGCTTAGTGGCTTAAATGTAAAATGTATGTTTTCTTGTTAACATAATGTAGTGCATTGGTGAAAGTAAAGATCCAAGCCAGTAGAGTGACTTGATAGCCACTCCTCAACTTCTATATTTAGCTTCTATATTCTATATACTGTAGTTAATGCTGGCAGATGGATATAATTACATGACTGTCATCTATTTGAACATGATCTAATTTAGATT